ATAGTAATTATTTACAAATTTAGTAATTTCTACAAATTATCTGTTGCAGAACCTGGGCCATCTGTCAAGTTTTCCTCCATCTTCATTTTGTTGAATGTACATTCTCAGTGCACTTGGGCTTGGTCCTCTGCAAATGAGCAGTTGGCTCCCAAGACTATGTCAAGCTGAGGTTCATTGCCTTCAGCAAGACAAGAGTTAAATGTTTGGCAGGAAGATAGGAGGCATAGAATGTTGCTTTTCTCTCTGTCTCTATTATTAGCGACCTTTAATGCTTAATTTCTGTATCTGTTTACTTATTCAGCATAATAAAATGATATTTTCTGCTCTTCTAATTTCCATTTTTTTAGAATACTTTTATAAAGATATGCTGTCCCTTATCTACTAATGCTTACCTAATGGTAGAATTTGTATAGGAAAAATGCTTAATTCCTTTATTTGCCAATGTTCAATATAATAAATTGGTTCTATATCATTTAAGACAATCTATTTTTTTTTTAACCAAGGATTGAACCCAGAGGCACTTAACCACTGAGCCACATCCCCAGCCTATTTTGTATTTTATTTTGAGACAGGGTCTTACTAAGTTGATTAAGGCTTTGCTGAGTTGCTAAGATTGGCTTTAAACCTTCTGCCTCAGCCTCCCAAGCTGTTGGGATTATGGTGTGCCCCACTGCACCCAACCTTTTCTTTTCGTAACATCATTGTAAATTTTCAAGCACAGTTAATGGTCTCAATTTATTGCAATTAATATCATGGTTAAGGCTCTGCTATCCCTTCTTTGGCCAGAGCATATGACACGAGTATTTTAGTTACTGAGATCTCAGGCACTAGGATAATCATCTTTGAAAACTTCCTTGTTACCTATTATTACAAGGTGTTCCAAGATTATTTGTACATTTTCTGCCCCAAACCTAGAATCAGTTATTTCTCCAAAAACCTGAATTTCTTTTATAGAGAAAGTGTGTTTCAAGACCACAGTCAGATGCTAGGAATGATTGTTGCTACTACTAGCTTATTTATTATTTCTGGATCTTTTCAATGATCAGATTAGTTGTATGTATTGTGTTTACACACATACCTTAATATGTCTACATACACATATTTACTTATATCTTTATATGTGTGTATATATGCATATATTTTATGTGTGTATATACATACATACCCATGTTCAATAATGATAAAATACCTCATGAACTTTATATGATACTTCACTTGAGAGTATGGAGCTTCAGCTTATCCTCTTTATTTTATTTGAATACTGTTTCTTCCATATTGATAATTCTGGTTTGGAAGCATACAGGGAATAATTTAATTATAATGTCTCATAAATGCTCATTTGTTTTATCCCATACTACA